TCAGTTTACTTTACTTTAAAGTCGAACCAACTTATTCCTCGTTAAAGTTTTACAACCGAACTCGGAATTAGTTGCCCATTTCGGTCAATTCTCGGGAGCTACGCTTTCTATTTTCCCCTTGCGGGCCACGCAAGTGACGGTCGCGGCCAGTCGCGGCTTTAAGCTTGCCGCTCGCGGCAAGGGAAAGATAGAAGGCGTAGCTCCAGAGAATCGGCCGAAATGAACAACTAATTCCGAGCTCTGTTTTACAATATTTTGGTAAAGAAAATAAATTCTTTTTCGAACACTCAAAGATGTATTTAAAGAAAAAATATGACGATAACTGATATATAAGTAACAACTGTACAAGATTTGTGTGTAGAATTTAATAACTATTTTATAGTTATTACAACTAAAAGTTCAGTTGCAATAACAAAATAGTTGCTACAAAATAGTTTATTAAACTATATACATTACAATTCTGCATGCAAAGCTTGTTTTTCTCTGAGTATGGTAATGAGCTTTTTTCAAATTTATGACATTTATCTTAAGACTTTTATAAAGAAATTTCTTGATAATACATTTAAAGATAATAAGAATATTTAAATATCCTTTGTATTGAAGGAAAGTAAATACGATAACAGTTCTGTTATCGTTGAATATTAATATTCAACGATAACAGAACATCCTGTTGAGAAAACTCAGTTTATTTTTCTTCTTTTAACTCAGTTTACTTTCCTTCAACACAAAGGATATTTAAATATTCTTATTATCTTTAAATGTATTATCAACAAAATTTCTTTATAAAAGTCTTAAGATAAATGTCATAAATTTGAAAAAAGCTCATTACCATACTCAGAGAAAAACAAGCTTTGCATGCAGAATTGTAATGTATATAGTTTAATAAACTATTTTGTAGCAACTATTTTGTTATTGCAACTGAACTTTTAAAAAATCATAAATTAGAAATATTAAATTGTAAAGAATATATATACGGAATTTTTATAAGAATAAAATTAAATAAAAAATTTAATCAAACTTCGAAAAAAGCAAGAGCAAAGAAATTCGGGTTTGCAATAAAATAAATTGAATGGGAATGTAACGCGCAACGGTAAACTGAGCTGGATGCCGATAGCAGCGATTAACGAATAGAGATTGATTGAGGCAAACTGATGATTATTCGTGACAACAGTCGACCGGGAATGCCGTGTTTGATACGAGAAGCAAACGCGCTCGGATCGAGTAGATCATCGACGGATGATCGTCGCCCACTGCCACCGCGGCCGTGATTCGAGTTCGACGAGGTATAACGTTACACCCAAATTCCTGCCTGTGAATAACTGTAACCCGGTTCTCGACGATTGCACAGCTACAGGCGTCCGCGGTAACCACATCGTCAACGGCACTGTGAGTATTAACAGCGTCCCTGGTAACCAGAGAAAAGGTGATGCAGGATACCACTAAGTGGAAAGAGTCGTTAAGAGATCGAAAACGAGATCTTAGAGACCACCCAGTCTTATCCGAAAGAGAGAAATTTCGTTAAATCTAAGATTCTCTCCTTTCTTTCTCTTGCGAGAGAACGAGATTATAAACGTCGGGAACAGAACACACTCTCTGAGTTGAATTCTTTGACCGAATTATTATTCTTCTACGTTATTGTTGGTTTCCATTAGAGTGATAATGAGTAAGTAGTACGGTAGTTTACACCTCTCAACTTTATCTTCGAACACTTCAGTATATCTGACTGAAATATCTAATGTCCCAGTCCCTCAAGTATTATCCTAACGGAGATAAAAAAAAATGCTTAATCTTGATAAGGGATGTCTATTAGAAAGAAAGAAAATCGGTCCTCTGAGTCGCCAACTCGGGTCTCTCCTTCATCAGTTCGTTCATTCACTCTGTGAATGACATTTCACAAAATCATACTCCACGACTCGGTCATTGTCCACGAGATAACTTGTCCTTCGCGAGATAGAATTGACAACGCGAAAGGAAGCTGATTACTCTTACTCGCGATCTTGAATCCCTCTTCGTCATACTTGATCGCACAACTGATTTCACGACGATCAGCTGTGAACTTCGCCGAACTTTTCGCCCCTCAACTTCTAACAGGCTACCTGCCAGGATTCTGAACACGATTAGATGAGTGCTATCAAATTACGAGAAGATCGAGCAACGTGACAATTACGCCGTGCTCGTGAACTCTGTCCTTCCTTCTCTCTCTCTTTACTTCCTAATTGAATTTTCGATCGACTTCCCTCGTTGTGGAGGAGTCACGGTGTCGGGTGCATGTGCCAGGTGCTTCGAGTGTGCTAAATGGATAAATAAAAGTCTAAACCGTCGGCTGACTTAATTGAATATAATCTCATGCTCAGTGTGCGACCCACGATTACGGTTATCCGTTCCTCCTCTTCATTTTGCACGAATTCGCAATTAAGAAGGCGCGTGAGCGTAAGCGCGCCGTTACATTGAAAGAATCGCTCGTGTTTGTGTGTTTTAACAATCACACAATTAATTACGCAACATTCGCGTTTAGCCTCCACATCGCGAAAGCGTTTTACACTTCGCCTCGTGCTTACGACATGCGCAGCTGAACATGTTTCCGTTCGTCTGTTGTGGATGATAAATGAGCTTCAACGTAATAGGACGACGATCCGTCATGCCGTCCGATCGTGCTTCGACATCGTGGGACGTTAATCCGTTCCGAAATTATAACCGCGCTTACGAGAAAATGCAAACAGACCAAAGTAGATCCGGGCGTAATTAATAACGTCCGATGGTGAATTAAAGTGAGCTGTTAAAAGTAGATCTTGGTATGCCGTGAGAACGTGTTGGCGCCGATTACCACCGACACCCCGCGATAATCAAATACACTTACGTCACGCAATTACGTCCAGATGGAATCGGTTCTTCATTCCGTGAGGACGTTCACGAGGAGGTTATCGTCGCGAATGTTATGGTCAGGGATGTTGCCTGAATTGCGCTCATCCAGCACCGCTTTGCAAATTCTGGCATAAGTCATTAATCACTTCGGCAAGTAAGGTAGAAAGGAGAGTGCGAAGGATAAAGCCACTAACGAAACATGAACTCGCGTGAACTTGTCTTCCGCAATCACTCTTCAGGTAAAAATACCGATACCTGGACACTAGTAACTTTGGTATCTAACCCTGTACATTCTCGTTGCTTTGGTCTTTATACACGGAAAAGAAGATTTGGTCGAATTAACCAAATATCTGGTCGAATATGAACGATCCAGAAATTCCGATTGAAATAATCCGAATTCTGTTTAAGTTAACAAGATTTTTGGTTGACTTAAACAGAATTCGAGTTACTTCAATCGGAATTTCTGGATCGTTCATATTCGACCAAATATTTGGTTAATTCAACCAAACCTTTTTTCCGTGTAGAAATGGAATATTTGAACTTTTAACAGATAGAATATACAGGGTGTTTGACGATAACATATAAAGCTCTTATATAGATTAAGTCAAATTAGATCAAATTAAACCAAAAATTTCTCTACCATTTTGGAAACAAGCACGTACAAATTTGGATTATTAATTAAAGAAGATTGATCACGTGCGATACAGAAGTTGAGCTGTGATGGCGACGTCTGCCATCGTGTGCTTGTATATCAGGTCAAACTAGACAAAAATGCACTGGAAAAAGGATTTTGTCATTGAAACGGAAACTTGGTACACCGGGCCGAAATTTGGTTAAAAGGGAATCGATCACTTGTCTAGTAATGGCGAACAAAAAATTTAATTGCCGTTTGTGCATTTTGCTTTCTCATTGATATAGCTTACTTGACACAAGTAAAAAACACAATAATGCCAACCCAATCGTATGTACCAAATATTTTAGTTACAAATACAAAAATAATCTTGCCAATGTGTCTTCTACCATTTTGCAAATAATCACGTAGATTTTCATTTATTAATTCAAGAAGATTTGTGAATGATTGTATTCAATCGCGCTCGCCAATGTTCCTTAATTCATAACTAAAAATCTACGAAATTATTTATAAAATGATAGAACATTTTTGTTACTTAATTTCTTATGTAATGTAAATAAGTTATGAACTTTATAAACGCCTATCATCTGTTTTTAAATTCTCCGAAGTTTTGCTTCTGTAATTCTTAAGTTTTCACAGGTAAATTTCATATTTATATATTTTTCAGGAAAAAATGTCGCTTAAATTCAACAATTTCATGAATTTAACCGTTCTATTTTATTAATATATTTTTTTAGATGCATGACGATTTTTTTAGATGAGAGACGATCATGCCTCTTTTTCTCTAGCGCGAAAAGTTAATGTTTTCAAATATTTTCAAATTATAACATTTTTATTTTTCATAAGTCATCGTATCGTATTAAACTTAATTTCTTAAAACATACAAACGTCGCCGCTCATTTATTTTCACAGATCATTTATTAGTCGTCTTAATTAATACGTAATTATTTATAAAATGATAGAACTTTTTCGTTTAACTTAATTTCTAATATAAAACATACAACGATAAACGTCGCCGCTTATTCATTTTCATAGATCATTTATTAGTCGTGTTAATTAATAACTCAAAATTTTACGTAATTGTTTGCAAGATGGTAAAAGAATTTTGTCGAATTTAATTCGACGTAATCTACACGAGAAATTACGTCAGACACGCTACATACACATATTCTATGTCGAAAGTTAAAATATTCGTATTTAAAATTCAAAACAATAAGAATGTATCTAGAGTTAGATGTCAGTATAGTCAGTGCCCAGGCATTAAATGTTCTTGGATTGATGTAATATTACCATATAAACATTTGACACACCAATTATGTAAATATAGATAAATAAAATTGTTTACAGCGCCCCTTCATCTGCGCTTGACTCTTATTTTCATTGATATTAGTGCTTTTGCCTTATTATCTCATGTTTTCTGCGAACGCGCGAAGCTAAATGTTTCGGAGAAACGTTGTTTTCTCTTTCAGAGATTGAGACTAATATCTAGCTTTCGTTTGTGTTTCAGATGTGCGATCGGCGAAAACAGGCCTGGGCCGCCGTCTTCATCGGCAACGTGTTGATCCATACCGCGGTTATCGCCAGTCCAATCTATGTTCCTCAATTTCAACCGGGAAGTAAGTCTTTACATTCGCTCTATTATTATTCCCCAGGAAGAGTATCAATAGTTCTCCGTCGGATAGTATCGGTTAGCCGCAGTTCGGGACGGGGATTTCTCTGTAACGCGCGTTACTTAATGATCGCAATTTGCTGATTAAATTGCCGTTACGTCGTCTTACGGAAATTGCACGGTATGCCTTCGGCGTATATCGACCTCCAATTTGCTCATTACAAGTAGCTTTAATTGAACTTAATTGCGGACATAACCGAATTAACGACCGAAATAAACTCGCCGCATTCTTTTGTGAGAATCACGCTCCTCTCCGAGAAGCTAATCGTCGATCGCGGACGATATTCGCGCGAAATGTCACCGATCCTTGTATTTTCGGCAATACCTAAATCCTCAAACCCAGAAATCTGCGATTATCGCACTTCCCAGTGAAATCTCTTCGTGGTATAAATCATGCAGAAAACCTAATTTTCTCTAATTCAAGAGAGGGAGAATTAAATAAAATTTTACATTAGAAAAAGGATTTTGTTGTCGAAACGAAAATTGTAGTACATCGGTTTATAATTTGGTTAAAATAGGATCAATCAAATATTTGGTAAATGCAATCAAAAAAATTAATTGCCGCCATATGTGTTTTGCTTTCTCCATAATACATGTACTTGGCATAAGTGAAAAATATGTAATGTCAACTAAATTTTGTATGTGTGTGTGTGTGTGTGTGTGTGTGTGTGTACAAAATATATTAAATTCAAATTCAAAAATAATTTTTTTAATATATTATCAGAGAAAATTAAATCCTTATCAGTTCTATTTCGGTAATATCTTTTACCATTTTCCTAAGAATTTATTTATATTATCTTATTCATGAAGATTACCTCGTGATATATATTAAAATACAAAGAATTTTAATTTCCTGCACGAAGAAAAAAGTTAGGATTTATATTAATATGAAGTTTAGTGGTAATGAATAAACTTCTAACGCATTTTAGTTGAGGGAAACGGAATTTTTGGTTCCTAAAATTAAATTTGGGTCATGAGAACCATAGAGATAAGACTATCAGAAATAATCTGTTTTTCAAGTAACCTTGATTCTTTTATTAAGACCAAACTTCACATTAATACAACTAAATTCTTTTCCTCCATGTATAATTCCATATTTTAAATAAAAACTTTTGCTGAAAGAATTTTTTAATGAAATGAGTTCGTTTTGAATAAAGAGGGGTTTCAAAAAATTTTGCTACGGGTAAAATTATATATATATATATATATATATTTTTTTTTTTTTATGTAAATAACAGAGAGTCTAATTTTCTTTAATCCAAGAGAAATGGAAGAAGAGAGAGAAAAGCTAAATCCATATTAGCCCTGATTCGGTAAAATGTTTTATTTAGAGAAAGAAATAAGAACTCGCAAACGAAGATATCAATCAAAAAATAGGAAAAAGGGCAATTCGAGTTCAAGCACAGGACTAATAGTGCTATATACCATATGGGTAAAAACCTTCCTTGTGTTAGGAAATCGTGTAATATTTATTGAACATGAATAATCAATATAAAACAATCATACGTTTCGGCTCAACCATGAACCCTCCTCAGTGATAATAAAACTCAAAGTTTACGACACGAACGCATTACAATTAGTAAAAGACCTGCGCATGAGGAACGCTTTTACTTAAAACGCCTGATCTCAGAAATGATTTTCATCAAATTTCAGAAGCAAGGTCTTAACTCACAAAAAGATACTGAATATTTGGGCACCAGCTACTGCGGCTTGTTATGAAAATAAACTTTGTTTTGGTTTCTTTCTCTCCCACAAGTCGTTTCCGCAATGTTAATGCTAGGCATATAAATTTGTAACTATTTGTATTTCGAAGACGTGGCGATGTTATCGTTGACAGGATCGGTTTACTTTTAGCTGAACTCAACAAAGGTATTTTATATTGTCAGTTTTAATTATTTATTATATTTCCATTTTACTTATTTTTATTTTATTTTATATGTTTTTTATAGTTATGACGGCTACTTCTCAATATTAATTTATTACTTAATATTATTTCGGTAACGGTTTTATCGGCTTTAATATTGCGACTAACATTCATGTCAATTTGCGCAGGTCTTTTACTAATTGTAATGCGTTCGTGTCGTAAACCTTGAGTTTTATTATCACTGAAGAGGGTTCATGGTTGAGTCGAAACGTATGATTGTTTTATATTGATTATTCATGTTCAATAAATATTACACGATTTCCTAACACAAGGAAGGTTTTTACCCATATGGTATATAACACTATTAGTCCTGTGCTTGAACTTGAATTGCCCTTTTTCCTATTTTTAAAATGTTTTATTACTTTCCTAAAAGAATTTACTAATATTATTATTTGTAAAGAATATTTCGCGGTCTAAATAATGCAAAGAGTCTAATTTTCTTCAATTTGAGAGAAAGAAAAAGAGGGAGAGAGTTAAATCGTTATTAAATCTTGATTCGCGCACGGATTTATTACTTTTCTAGGAAATTGTTTACATTATCATTTATATAAATATTATTCTGACCAGCATTTCTTCTTTCTCCCATTGTTTTTTAATACAATATCGTAAAATGCAATCTGAAATCTCGATTCAGCTGTGACACGAATCTCGCGCCGGTGTACCTAGAAGTATACGTACGATACACTTCTGTTTGTCCTGCTGGTTCTTTCACGCTCGTTGCATTTTCCTCGTGTGTCAGCTGAGTAACGGATCGGTACACGAATACCAGCAACGAGCCACGGCGAGGCACGATCGTTTTCTACGCGTGTGCGTGAGCGCTTACCTGTCTCCGTCACGCGGCGACATTGAACCTACCTTGAATTCGTGCTCGAACGGAACGTGGGCGGACTGGTCAGTTTTCTGTACAAGTAGGTCAACTGCGGTCATCGGGGAGCCGCGTGACTTAATGATTTTTCCGTCATCCTCTCGAACTAGCCGCCGACGTTTGACCTGCGACCGTTCTGAAGCGAGGTTCAGGGTTTCATGGGACGTACGGTTATCTCTCCCGTTGTGTTTAGCCGATCCTTTACCAAGATATTCTTTGTCGTATTTGACGTTTCTGTCATCTCTGCTGTTAACACGTGGCGCGTGTCAAAACTTTTGTCGGCATGTAAACAATTAATTTAAAGCGTAATTGATTGACTGAATAACTTGTCAAAATAACCGAGAGAAGAAATATATGAAAAATTTAAGAAAATATTTATTCAGTAGGTATCAGAAATATATTTATTTAATTCTTTACTTGATAATGTTCCTCTTAAGCAACATCGATTTTTCATAAGCTATATGCAAGAACGATAGATTCAGGACGTAATTATTTAGCTGTTGCTCACTATTGAGTAACACCTGTTCTGTTCGTCACTATGTAGTTTCGATTTTTGCCACTATATAACAAAAATTGTCGAGAGAAAATATGTTTTCATAATGATATTTTGAAAATAACTTTACTGCATTTAGAAGATGTTATTTGCTTCATTTAAATACAAAATTGAAAAATTTTTCTCCTTGAACTTTTCTAAGTCTGTCAAATAAGAGTAGATTCAAGTTTTTTTATTTAAGCACTCCGAATCTATGAAATATTGACTTTTGGGACTTGGCGAAAACTATAACATATTGAAATTTCAGCCAATTTGACCGAAAACCATTTTCCATAGGTTTTGTGCGGGGTCCTTTGATACACCAGGGCAAAATTTGATTAAAATGGGATTAACTAAATATTTTGTAATTGCAACCAAACAACTTAATTGTCGCCTGTGTGTTTTGCTTTCTCACTTAATACATCCTACTTGACATAATTATTCTAAAAGACATGTAATGCCAATCAGATCGTATGCCAATTGTAATCAAATATTTTAATTCCAAGTACAAAAATAATTGTTTTCAGTGGGATACAAGTTAAAAGGAGTGCGTTATATTTCGGTATAGAGGACATTCTTCACAATCGCGTTTCATTCAGTCATGACGTTGTCGCGCCGCGCCGCGACGATACACGGAGCCCCGTTGACGGCTTGATTTCCTTTGTGCGATAACGCTAAACTTCCGTTTCCAAGCGACTTCCGTTCCGCGATCAGATAAAGCACTTTCCTAGCGTGATCCGTGGATGCGAGTGAAATCCTTCGCGCTCGAACGCGTGGGCGTGCGGCACGCGCGTTCCCGCAGTTCGGCTTGAAATTCCGCCAGAACTGCAGAAAGGCGTCACCAACTTTCTTCCACGCCGGTGACTAACTAACGCGCGCGTCACTTCCGTTAGCACACATTTTCTACGCGGAAGGATGACGAACGGACGTGTAGGACTTTTTGGGTGTGCGGTCTGACCGACTGACCTGGTAGAGAGGCGAGCGCCCGCAACCGCCCTGGGACTGTAAAACAATTTTACGCTTGATTTTCACTAACCACGAAACGTCCGTTGGGTCGGCCGCTCGTCGGCAAAAGAAAGTAAACATTTGCGGAAAAACGACAGCGTTTTAACGACCTCTTTTGTGCCGATTGCGTCGCGTGAAAACTGCACCGCAACTGATCCATGGTCGGGGCGCGCGGTCGATTACCGGTGGATTTAAACGTCGCTTGTTAATTCACGATTCACTTGATTTACTAAATAATATTAACAATAATAACAGTAATATTGTTATATATGCGTATAATGAATAAATAAAATCGCAGACACCAGCCAAGAGTCCTTACTTTTTCGCGAGTTTTTCGAATTTTATACTTCAGCCAAAAAAAATATAATCTTATTTTTAGCGGAATCCTCTCATGTATTACAATGCCGCGGGACACATGAAGTTAATTGGAATCTCTCTCTCTTTCTCTCTCTCTCTCTCTCTCTCTCTCACTCACTCAAAAAGATATAATCTTATCTTTAACGGAATCATCTTATATATAGCCTCAGGAGGAATATTTTAAGATTACTATACAAGAAGAATATATTCTAAGCACAATATTCTTAAAATTAGAGGAATTTCATTTTTCACGATATAAGCAAG